TTTCCCTTTCTCAGGTTTGGATAGGACAGGAGCCGAAGCCAGGTATGCCTTGAACTGCTCAAAGGCTTCTTGACACTCAGGGGTAAACGTAAAGCCGTTTCTCTGTCTCATCACCTGAAAGAATGGTAGAGATTTCTTCGCCAACTTAGACATAAACCTACTCAGGGCGGCCAACCACCAATTAAGCCTCTGAACGTCTTTAATCGAGATAGGATGATGCATCTTCAAGATATTCTGCGTCTTTTCGGGATTGACTTCTATCCCTCTGTGGGTGACCATGAAACCTAGGAATTTCCCCCTTTCCCCGCAAATGCGCATTTTTTCGAGTTCAAGCGCAAATTCCTTCATTTCATAACCTCGAAGCATTGGGATAGGTAATCAGGGTGGGTTTCGACTTCCTTACTCTTTACCAAAAATGTCGTCTACATACGCCTTCGTACTATTCCCCAGGAGGTCCTTGAATATTTCTGCCGCCATGCGGGTAAAGGTGGCGCCCGAATTCTTCAGACCGAACGCCATGACCCGGTAGTAGTATATTCCATCGGGGGTAATGAATGTCGTTTTCTCTTCATCCTCTTCGGCCATGAAAACTTGGTGGTATTCTTTAAAAGCATCCATGAAGCTTAGCAATTCACATCCGAATGTCTCGCGTCGGTGTGAGGTAATGGGAAGGGGTCCAAGGGGCAGGCCTTATTTAAATCCGTATAGTCCACGCACATGCACTATGTTGGCGGCTTCGAGGCTAGTACCACATTGGCCAGCCACTCTGGATACATCGCCTTCTATATGTGGCCTATCGTTAGCAGTGTGTCCACTGGCATCACAAATGCCTTCTCTCGGCTGATAGGTCTCGTCTTTTCTGCTTAACCTGCTTAAAGCTGGGGTCCACCGCAAGCTTATGCATGATTATAGATCTGTCTATTCCTGGCATGTCTTCGGGCCCCCAGGCAAATACCACAGAGTATCTTTTCAGGACCGCTATGATATGTTCTCGTAATTCGGGGGCGAGCCCTAGTGCTTATCCTAACACACCTGTCTGGCCGAGCTGGGTCCAGAGGCACCTCCTCCAACTCCACGACAGGCTTAGGTCCAGCCTTCTTCTGCGTCTCAGGCTCATTTTCTATCGTGTGAACGGGTAATTAGTCCGTTAGATCTTCTCACAGGCCATTTCATAGCACCTCCGGGCTAGGTGCTGACTGCCTCTTACCACCTCGACCCCCTTTGGCGTGTGAAATTTTAAACATAGGTGCTCCATTGAGATGAGCCCACCCAAACCCGACAACCCGGGCCTTCCTAGGATAAGGTTATGGGCACATACCAACTTGACAACCATGAATTCCATACTGACTTTCTTAACGTGCGGGGGAATGTCGACCTCCACGGGCAACACTATCGACCCCTCAGTCTCCACTGTATCCTCGGTGAAACCTGCCAAAGGGGTCCTTATTAGCTTGAGTTGGTCCTCGCAGGGTCCTAACTATAAGAACACATCGTGATACATCACATTGACACTATTTTCCGTGTCCACTAGCACCCTTTTGACCAAGACCATGTTGACCACCATCAAAATAACAAGGGCGTCCTTAGGGATAGCTGTTCTTGCCAGGAAGTCTTTGTTCGAAAACCAGATAGGGTCTTGAGGGGGCTTCTTCGAGTGGGGCTGGTCATCCACCACCCACACATATTTACTGGCATTTTCCCTCGAGGTTCCTCCCCCAAAGATTATATTGATCATTAGGCACTTACCTGGATTCCTTGCCTCGGTGTTTGGTTTTTCCGTTGCTTCTATAGGGGGATGGGAGTGTTCAGCCGTGTCCCTCTAAGCATTCCTCCTTGCCATCCGGTCCAAGTCTATGAAGTCCCCTAGCTTGCCAGTCTGTATGAGAGCCTCTATCTCCTTCCTCCATGCTTGACAATCATTAGTGTCATGGTCATGGCGGCGGTGAAATCTACAGTACTTAGTCATGTCGGCACCCGGCGGGTCCATGCACGGGCCGAACGTTCTCACCATCTGGCATTCTTCGGCATACGCGAGGATATCACTCAGAGGGGCAGTGAGCGGGGTAAAAGGCGTTAAAGGTTGCATCCTCGCCGTAGGGGGCGGAGGCGCCCACGGTGGGGGTGCTCATGGGCCTCCGCTAGTAGGTAGACGTTTTCCTCCCAGGCCGACTCTCCTACCCTCTGAATTTCTGAGTGGGTGGGTGGTGCCCCATTTGGGCTTAGGCGGCTCTTCAATTCACGGCCTTTTGTTACCCCGCCTCCTCCAAACATTTCAAGCTGTTAGCCTCCTCTGCCTCGGCATATCGATCTGCCTTCAACATCAAGGCGGTGTACATCCTCGGGGGTTTTGCGTTGTAGGGTCTTGTATAACTCTCCCGCATGGAGCTCTACGATGAACATGACACTTGCCTACCGATCGTCCATATCCTCAACCTCGGCCTCTTCCGCTCTCCACCGCACAAGGAACTCAGTGAGGGTCTCGTCCCTCCCCTGCCTAATACTGGCAAGATGCGTGAAATGCTTCATGCCCTTACTCCCTCTCAGGAAATAGGTGAGGAACCGAATGGTCAAATCCTAGAAAGAGTTTATCGAGATACCCTTTAAGTTCGTAAACCATCACTGCGCACCTCTCGATAGCGTGGAGAAGAATGCGCGACACATAAGAGCCTCGGAGAATCCCATTAGCATCATGGCAGCTTGGTAAGCCACATGGTCTTTGGGATCTCCCACCACATTGTATCGCTTAACGTTGGGGGTCTTGAAGTTGGGATGGAGGGGTTCATTCATGATTTCGAGGGTGAAGGGCGGGGTGATTGTTATTCTGGGTACCACGGGATCGGTACCATGCTCCTTCCACAGTATCAACTCCTCTATCTTGGCGTTCACCCTATCGATCCAGTCCTCCTGGGGGTTGGTCTAGCGGGTGCGTGCCCATCTTTCCAACGGACGATATGCACTCTCCCCCTCGGCCTCCCCCAGCCTTGCTTCAGCGTTACTCCCCGGGGGGCCCTGATCCCGAGGTATCACAAGTGCCCTTCCCCCCGTTTCCGAGAGAGTCTGGCCTAAGGCTCAAATGCGAGGGGAACTGCTCACCAGCTTGGATAACATTCGCCCTCTCATTGCCCTCTAGTATCCCTCCTTCTCTACCCGGGGAAACCAAGTTCTCTCCTCCCGCATAAACCAAGGCTGGTGCCTCGTCTACATCGCGCTCAGTATTGCGCCCCACCTCACTACGGTGGATGGGCAAGTGCTCGACGTACCTCTGAATTTCGCTCAGACAAATAGAGATTACAAACACGTGCTAATCATAGCGATTCCCACGGACGACGCTAATGATGATTTTATCGGGACCGGGTCCACCATAAACAGGGTATATAGGTACAGAATGGGGGGTATGCAAAGAATAACTTTATTACCCAGAGCGCTAGGCCCAAAACAAAACATCCAAAAGCTAAGACCAAGGCCGAGAAGATGGGCTATAGCTAAATATGCTACTGACAAGAATTAAACCCAGACAAGGGGTTGAGAACATAAGATCAAGACCACTAGACCGCAATGTTTGTAGTATTCCGACATATCCTTGATAGGGAGCCAAACACCCTATTTATACCCTGACCCCCCACATCTTGCACCCTCCACGTGTACATTCCCAAACTAACTCCATTCGGAGGCTTCCACGTTCGCCATGCACTCCCATGCAACACCTCCCCATCCCCTCACACCACACCCCCTGAAAGGGGGAGGCGCACAATTGGCGCAAGGCCGTGCAGCCTGTGCGCTGGCCATGCCTAGGCCAGCAGATGCCAATAACCCACCCGCCAGGGCCCCATGCTCGACGGCGACTGCTGCGACAGACCAGCAGCGGGGGGGGGGGGGGGGGGGGGCGACCCCAGCGCGAGCCCGTACTGGTGATGCGCTGTTCACGCCACTGGGCGCGTTGGCCGCGTTGGACGCGCGCGCCTACCCAGCCCGGCCCCCACCGTCGCCAACGGTACCCCAGCTGGACCATCTTCCTCCCCTAGCCCCCTTTGGCCCATGTTAATCCTCTGCGTCCCTTTACCTCGGCCCAATACCGCGAGCCAAACAAACCTTGAGCCCATATCCTATATCCACATCATTAACATTGAGTATTAATATTGGACATATATTTTTGTGCATCACTCATATAAAATACTAGTTGTATTTTGTGTGTCAATATATTTATTGTTAAGTTACATAAAAGGAAGTGAATTAACAGAGTAAGGACGCTAGAAGCAAAATAGAGATTGGAGAGCTCATTAGAAGCATCTCACATTTACTTCATAATATTTTTCACAATTTGTTCAATTAAACACACACTTAGAATCATAAATTCGATAATTTTACATAGAGATTAGATAACTCATAAAAATTTAAAGAGTTTTTACCCAAAATGGTCCCTCGACTATAGCTCATTCTCAATTTTGCATTTCGACTTTCAATTGCACCCAATGTGGTCCCTTGACTTTTAAAAATTATCCCGAATTGATCCTCCGTTACCTTTTGCGTTAACTGAGCGTTAAAATTTGGGGTATTTCCGTCAATTCAACCTAGTTTGACCATTTTGTTCATTAACGTGATTAATGGAGTTTTGACTTCTTGGAGGAAACCCAGTTTGACCATTTTTTTCATCAATTGCACCCAATGTTTTGTTCATCAATTTGAAGCTTAATGCTTATGCCTCTACGAACCCCACCAATTCGAAGCTTATGCCTCTAGCAGCGTAATTACGATAACAGCGGTGGTGGTTTAGGATGGAGACGGAGGCCTAGCGATTGAAGGCGAGGGAGTGGCAGTGGTAGCACTGGTCACCGAAGCTGGAGGAGCGGCGGCGACAGCGCTGGTCACAGGAGCTAGAGAAGCGGCGGACAACAGTAGAGACTCAAGTTTTAAAAGTTTATTTATGAGCAGTAACTAAAGAATACAGTTGTTTCCACAGATCTTTCACCACTACACAAGTATACAACCCCCCACGCATCAACTTAAAGAAGAAATAGATAGTAAAAAATTGTACTTTTGACTTTCTTTGTTCATGCTATTTCTAAATTTGCATAAACAGTTGAAGAAAACATACACTAAAGATTTGTCAATGTAAACACAATTAAGTAGCAACCTCTTGGTGTTCAAAAAATAAAAAAGTAGCAACCTCTTGGTGTTCAAAAAATAAAAAAGTAGCAACCTCTTGCAACAATCATATATGTGCAAAACAGAAAAGAGTATCCTAAGTAGTACTACTACTACTATACAAGCTGAGTAACATATCTTATGTACAAATAAAAATAAGTTGATACAGAACCTGCAAATGTCACCAAGTACCGAAGCTGCTCCCAACGTGCTCCTGGGTGTTAAAGTTAAGACGGTCTTTCATGATATCCTTGGATGGGTAAGGGGGAAAGCATAGGCGGTAAAACTGGACGGAGCCGGTTTCTTTCGGCGTGGAAGTCTGCAGATGATCCCGGCAGGGAAGAGTATGGGTGAGATTGGATCTGAAAGGGGTGCTGATCGTTAGGTGGAGCGGCATTCCAAAAATGACTCCAAACATCAACTCCTGTAACTACTCCGACAACGACGATGAAGTCACGATGTCGTAGGACACGGGACTCCTTCCCCAACGACGATTGCGACCAGTACGGTCATTGTGAGCCGTTCTGCGTTTGCGAGCACTCAAATGCCGGAAGTGAACACTGAACAGAGACATTGATTTGAAGGGATGTGAGGAGCTCTATGTGAACAACTGATCGTGCACGAGAGAGAAAGCTAAGCAACATAAACCACAAAACACAACGAAATGACCAAAATCCCCAAAACTTAACGCCTGGTTAATTGAAAAGGTAACGGAAGACCAATTTGGGATAATTTTTAAAAGTCAAGGGACCACATTGGGTGCAAGTAAAAGTCAGAATGCAAAATTGAGAATGAGCGATAGTCGAGGGACCATTTTGGGGAAAAACTCAAATTTAAATATGTTTTCTCAAGTACAAAGTACTATTAGATAATGTACACCATTCTTAGTTTTGAAATACTTTTACATTACTCTTTAAACCATTATTTAAACTCTCTTTAGGAAAAGAGTACACCATAAGTTGCAAAACATGCATGTTGATTTGATCATTTTAGAAATATACCCAACAACTGAACTTTTTTATGGAACATATAATTTAGCTACACAAAAACAATATATAAAATGTGTTCTTATATCAATATTATTTCAATTTATTGTTATTCCCTTACGAGTTTAATAATAAAGTATTTTAGCGCTCAAATTTTGAGCACTATATTTTGTCCCTTTTTTATGTGGACATGTCAATATATATTTATTTACTGTAACTATTTTTTAAAAAATGTTAAATTCAACGTAAATTAATTTATTAATTGCACTATAGAATTTTACTTATAATTGTATTGACATTGAGGTACAATATTTAGGTGCCTTAGACTTGAATTTCATAGAGAGTAGTTTAAATTTGGGATAAAGGTTAGATAGGGCAATGAATTTTTAAAAAAACATACAATTGAGTAACTGAATTAAAAAAAAAAAGTTTTAAATAGACCATTGAACTTGAAGAAAAAGTACAATTCAACCCATTCTATCTCTTATTGCAGGGAACCATAAGATAATTGCTAAGTTCAATGCGAAGTTATTGTTGTTGTTTTTGTTTTTGTTAGAGCAAAATTCACTTTTAGTCATTGGCTATTGTGGCTTTGCTACATTAATCATATTCTTTTAATTTTATCCATTGCTGGAAATTATGAAATTTCTGACCACTTGAAGGTGATCTTAAATCAAGTCGAAAGCCTTGTTCCGACCACTTTTGGTATACAGAAAAACCTTTGTTGCTATTTTCGACCACTTTTTGCTTTCGACTTGATTTAAGATCACTTTCAGGTGGTAAAAAATTCTATAATTTCCAGCAGTGATCACTGATGTGGTTAATACGGTCGTTCCCACGAATACATATGAGTACTAGATCGGATCGTAGATGGATCCTTGATTTTCCTGCTTGTTGGTTTAAGGAATTGAGCTCGAGAAAAGGTGACAGTGGGTCAGAGTGTCCCAAGAAGATAATAGTTATGTGGAAAATGCCAAAAGCACCCCCCCCCCCCCCCTCTTGCATTTAATGCGGTATTTATAGGAAAATAGAGGGAACACATGCCGAAGGTTCGGCATGCGCAACACGTGTTTCCCATGCACAGGGGAATATCGAAGGCTCCGCTGATTCTCCCATGTGTACTAAGGTTCCTGACGCCTTCGTTACCTGCCGCGATCGGGTTTGGCTAAGGGAATGAGGTTCCGTTTTCTAAGTGGAGAAGGTCGGGCGTTTCATCCTGACCTAAGATAGTCAGGGTGTCCCTGAAGGTGGGAAAATATTGCTATTAACTAAGCCCTTGCCCGGTCCTTTACAGTAAGTCAGGTCGGTTACTCTACGGTCGGTAAATGCTCGGGAATAATTCCTCTCGACGGTCTGCCCGAGTACCGATTAGGTATGTGATATGTATAGGTAACGAGGCCGGGTAATATTATATTCCCTATCAATAACATTATATCATTGACTTTTGTTTGGTTGACACAATTAGTCCATTGTTTAAAATTTTGTCAATTCACCATTAAATAAAGAATGTTAACACGTAATTTTATCATTTAAGCATCTTGCCTCAACATGTAATTTCTCTCCCTCTCTTTTAAACTTTTTAAATTGAACAATTAAATTACATATTAACCATATTTATTATAAATGGTGTAATAGCAAAATTTTAAAAGGACAATTGTGCCAAACAAATATAAATCAAGGATGCAATGTGACAAAATTAAAAGAACAAGACTAAATGTGTCAATGCCACAATAGTTAAGAACTAAAAGATGAATTTGCTCGTATTGTTGTTGTGGTTGTTAATAATAATAATAATAATAATAATAATAATAGTAATAATAATAATAGTAATAATAATAGTAATAATAATAATAATAATTTGGATAAGGCAACCGCAAATCATTGTTGTGACAACTAATGCAATATTGTTAATAGTGGTGGTGTTAAGGTTTAAGTATTAAAATATCATAAAAAGTACAAAATACTGTAATATCTAATAAATTATAATGTTAAATGTACAAATATAAATATGACGTGGCAAATGATACGGAGTTAACAAGTAAAAAATAGTAGGGCTTAGATGAATGATTCTATTAAGGTCGGATGTTTAATTGAATTTTTTAAAAGTTTAAGGGATTAATTGATAGTATTTCATTAATATTTAGAGAGACTATTTAACCCTTTTTCAAATAATAATAATTTTTTCTCTATAAATCTTTAAACGCTTTTCAAGATTATTTGTATGGTATTTTTTTTTATATCAGAGCTGAGGGGGACATCCAAAGAAAACAAAAAAGTCTCACGCCCCCGAAGGGGGAGCTTGGGAAATGCGCCGCATTGAGGATGCTCCAATCTTATCAAGTGCAATCATACAAAGAAGCGTCGGTGGTGGTTCCTCAAGGATGTGGAACCCCTGTTGTTCCAAAGTTGCCATGGAAGCCAGTCTGTCTGCCAGCTTATTCTGCTCTCTGTAAACATGCTCAAATCTGACCTCAGAAAAAGTCGCCGCTTCTTTCAAACACAGCCTGCCAATGTTATGGTTTTGTCCCTGCCAATCTCTTCCCTGCAACTTCTCGATTGTGGCCTTTGAATCACACTCGATGATAATCTTGGTAGCCCCGTCGTTCTTCGCCATGCATAGACTATGCAGGACACCCCATGTTTCCGCAGCCTCTATTGAGCATCTTCCTATTCTGCACGTATAGCCACATAACCAGTCTCCAAATTCATCCCGAAGGACACCGCCGCAGCCTGCCACACCATTGGCTCTACAGCTCCCATCCACGTTAAGTTTCACCCAACCTCTTGTCGGTTTCCCCCAAGCCAGCTTAGCTTCCACAACCGGGTTTTTCCTGCTTAGAGGTCTTCGGTTCTTCGCGAAAGCTCCAGATACCTCAGCATCATATTTATGTAACCATTCCAATTTCTTGGCTTTTGGGATTGTTTGATGTTTGAACACCTCGTCATTCCGCCAACGCCAAATCCACCACATCCTAACGGCGAACCGTTCAGGCCAACCTTCTTCAAAACCTTGTCTCGCGTCACCCTGTATGTTTGCCGCAAACCATTCCTGCCAGCTTAGGTATCGCAGCTTTTCCATGGTACGCCAATGGAGGGATTCATTCCAAATTTGTCGCGCAGCTCTGCAATCTCTAAAAAGATGATTAAGATCCTCATGCTGGCTGCACACATAAAACAAAAATCATTAATGGTGAGGTGGCGCCTGGCGCGTTCCACATTCGTAAGAATTTTCTCTAGTTTTACGAGCCACAAAAACATCGAAACTCTTGTCGATACCTGAAGAGCCCAAACTCTCTTCCAATCCTTGTCAGCGTGGTCTTCAGTCGCATTGGTGATGAGGGCATACGCAAACTTAACCGAGAATTGCCCCCGGCTGTCAGGACCCCAGCCCCATTCATCCTGGACGCCAGCCTCCGTCAACCTGTAACCTACGAGACGCTCTATAGCCTCCTGAGGCAGAACATGCATTAGCTTTTCCCATTTCCAGCCTCGGTTATGATCCCAATATGAGTCTACCATCGCGTAAAGCTCGGGAAGGCTCAGAGGATATTTGAGTTGATCGTAAAGCGGCCTAAGTGTAAGCCATTTGTCCATCCAAAATTGAGTTGCACTTCCGTCGCGAACTATGTGTGTGAGACCCTCCTCCAAGAAAGCCTTCGCCTCATTAATGCCCTTCCAAACGTTTGACGTTTTCCTTCTGCTTGTTACATTTGCCATACGGCCATACTTGGAAGTCAGAACTTGCGCCCAAAGAGCATGTGGCTCCGTGTGGATCCTCCACCCCAGTTTAACCATGCAGGCGGTGTTCATGTCATGCAGACGTTTAAGCCCTAGCCCGCCCGCCTCTTTTGCCTTGGTCACCACTTCCCAACTAGCAAGACTCATCTTATCGCCTCTGGTCTGGTCGTTTTTGCCCCAAATGAAGCGTTTGTTCTCTTCTCGATCTCCGTGCAAATACCTTTTGGGAGGGCTGCAGTTTGCATTGTATAGACAGGGATAGCATTTAAAACGGACTTCGCCAGAGTAACTCTCCCTGCTAAAGACAAGGTTTTGGATTTCCACCCCTCAAGACGGCCCGCAATGCGCTCAAGGAAACCTGCATACGTA